ATTATTCGGAAAGTAATTTCATTGGTAATAATAATTGACTGATAAATTTATAATTAAAAAACAGTTACAGGATAAATAAAAAAAAAAAAAAAAATAGAAAAAAAACACAGATGTGCATAATTTCACATTCGGGTTGGCAACAAATTGGGTTTGCAAAATTGAAATATAATTCCTAATGTGCAAAGGGTTAAAGTTAAATTTATCTCATAAAGAAATTAAATTTGCTTTTATTTTTTTCCATTACAATATATTTTCAATTACAATAATTTTTCAATTAAAGTAAATTTTAAATAAATATTTAAAATCATTGAAATCTGTTGAAAACAAAATTGAAATATAATTCCTAATGTGCAAGGGGTTAAAGATAAATTTATATAATGATGAAACTAAATTTGCTTTTATTTTTTTCCATTACAATATATTTTCAATTACCATAATTTTTCAATTAAAGTAAATTTTAAATAAATATTTAAAATCATTGAAATCTGTTGAAAACAAAATTGAAATATAATTCCTAGTGCAAAGGGGTTAAAGTTAAATTTGTCTAATAATAAACTAAATTTGCTTTTATTTTTTTCCATTACAATATATTTTCAATTACAATAATTTTTCAATTAAAGTAAATTTTAAATAAATATTTAAAATCATAGAAATTTGCCGATAACAAAATCGAAATATAATTCCTAATGTGCAAAGGGTTAAAGTTATTAAATTTATCTAATGAAGAAACTAAATTAGCTTGAGTAACCTTTCAAAGTGTAAACATGCTAAAGGGAGAAAAGATACTAATTGTAGTAGAAAGTAGTAAGAAAAATAACAAGAAGAAGAAGAAGAAGAAGAAAAATAACAAAAAGAAGAAGAAGAAGAAGAACAGGAAAACAAGATCGATCACTTTATCATGTCTTAAACGTTCACTAATGGTATAACAACGTTCAGGTATAACGTTCAGGTATAACGTTAGGTATAAAGTTCAGTTAGGATTTCAGAAGAATAGAGTAGGTGATCCCGATCTCGCGTGCTACGTCACAGACAGTAGAACAGGTCCGTTGCGTGTACTGTTAGGAAGCACCTAACTGTTCGTTCGTTCGTTCCTTCGTTCCTTCGTTCGTTTGTATGAGTGAAAAGAGCGTGCTGTTAGAGTGAAACGAGAAAGAGGTGGAAGGGGAAGGTGGGAAGGGGAAGGGGAAGGTGGGAAGAAGCACTACATAGGTCATGAAAATATATTCTGAGTAGTATCCGTATATGCATGAACATACATATCAATGTGTATTTCATGAAAATACACACAAGTGTATGAATACTAGTGTGTGTGTGTGTGTTTATAGGACACGTGCTGTTGTTGTTGTTGTTGATGATGGTAGTTGTGATGTGGTGTGGTATGGTGGTAATCATGTATAAGGAAAAATAAAAACGATATTAGTAGTAGTAGTAGTAGAGTAGGAGGAAGGTGAACGAATATATATATTGCATGAAAGTATTATGAATGTGTGAGTGTTTATGGGACACGTGCTGTTGTTATTGTTGATGTGGTTGTGGTGGTGGTATTCGAGTATAGGGAAAGATAAGAACGATATTAGTAGTGGTAGTAGGAGTGTACTGAACGAGTGTATAGTATATGTGTGACTGAGAAAGTGTAAGTGAGAGAAAAGTATAGTAGTAGATAAATCGAGTCAGTGGGCTAGTAGGATCAGGCATAATGTGTTAACTCAACTGGGTTCTTCTCCCTCGGTTTATACATATATATACATATATTGAATGAGTGTGTGTATGTGTGTAGGTATAAACTCTTACAAATATACAAATGCATACACATTGAACTTATCGACTATATACTCGTAAATACACCACCATGAAACTTTCTTTTCTTATGGATTTACATAGGACTTGTGTGTTAGAGACATAAGGGTCGAAGGGTGACGATAATATACGTTCATTGGAATACTTCAACAAAGATGCATACGCATACCTATATAAAATACTCCCCACATACACGCACGTACAGTTAAAAAACTAACACATTGAAGAGTTCAGTAGAGTAGGAGTAAAGTAAAGTAAAGTAAAGTAAAGTAAAGTAAAGTAAAGTAAAGTAAAGTCAAGTCAAGTCGATATACTAACGAAAAAGGGTGGGTTGGTAGGCGTAATGCAGAAGCTCTTTTATATACCTATGTGAACAAGGTGTAAGTATAAATATGTCTCTCTCTTTCTCTCTCTCTCACTCTCACTCTCATTCTCTCCTTATTCTCTTCCTCGTTCACTCTTTCGCATAATGAGTGAGTGAGAGAGAAAGATATGCGTGCATGTGAAAGTATTAAAATGTGAGGGTGGTATATAGTTGGTAGGTGCTTCCTTACACGGCTAACGAATCCCACCAATAGTAGTAGTAGTTCTGATCTATAAAAGCGTACTATACAACTATACAACTATACATCATGGAAACACACATGAGGAGGAATGATAGTAGGCAAAGTTGGTGAATATAGGCACAGCAAAACTAGGAGTAAAAGAAAGGGGAACACACATTGATGTAGTAGTAGTAGTAGTAGTATTGGTGGTGAGATGAGGTGGTAGGTGTAAGGTGGTTGGTGGGAGTGTTGGGGAGTGTTGGGGAGTGTTGGTGATAAGCAAGGAAGAAGGAAAGCAAGCCAGCAAACCTGGTGGCAGGTTTTACTCTGCTGGTGGTCGTTCGTTCATTCGTTCGTTCGTTCGTTCGTTCGTTCGTTCGTTCGTTGCTTGCTAGCTTCGCTCGATAGCTAAGTGCGGTTCCCCTCGACAACTCTCTCTCTTTCTCTCTCTCTCTCTCTCTCGCTCTTTCTCTCTTGCTATTTCTCTTTTGCTCTCATACTTGCAACGCGGTAGGATTAAAGGGGAACCCTCGAAGCGCTGGAATGCGAACGTCCAAAGAGAACGAGACCTCCTTCCGCAAGAATTTTCTCTTCCCCCTTTTTAGGTTCTTTACATATACATATATACATTATACAGGCATCTATACACATATATCTTCTTCTTTTTTTTTTTTTTTAATCTATATCATTGTTATATCTTAAGGGTAGAAACAATAATATGTATTATTAGGATGCTCTGAACACGCGTTACTATGTGGCTTTGGTTTAAATATAATTCTAAACTATTTAGTTAATTATAAATAACACACACAAAATATTACCACAATTAGAATAGAATACATAAAATAATAATACAGGGAAAAAACGACGTGAATATAGTCAAATAATTGAATTGTTAAATAGTGCCATCTATGGTATCTAAAGACTTAGAGAGATAACCTGTAAATAATAAATCTTTAAATTTGATATAAATAGTAACAAATTAGTTAAATTAATATTCAATAATAATTTATGGGAAAATTCAAATTAAACATAAAACAAGATAAAATAAATAATAATAATACAGAAAAATATATATAGAAAGGAAGGTTATTTATGTTACATGTAAATCTGAAAAATCTGAAAAAAAGTATGACGTGAATATAGTCAAATAATTGAATCGTAAAACAGTGCCATCTACGGTATCTAAAGACTTAGAGAGATAACCTGTAAATAATAAATCTTTAAATTTGATATAAATAGTAACAAATTAGTTAAATTAATATTCAATAATAANTATTCAATAATAATTTATGGGAAAATTCAAATTAAATATAAAACAAGATAAAATAAATAATAATACAGAAAAATATATATAGAAAGGAAGGTTATTTATGTTACATGTAAATCTGAAAAATCTGAAAAAACTATGACGTGAATATAGTCAAATAATTGAATCGTAAAACAGTGCCATCTACGGTATCTAAAGACTTCGAGAGATAACCTCAAAATAATAAATCTTTAAATTTGATGTAAATAGTAAAAAATTAGTTAAATAATTATTCAATAATAATTTATGGGAAAATTCAAATTAAACATAAAACAAGATAAAATAAATAATAATAATAATACAGAAAAATATATATAGAAAGGAAGGTTGTTTATGTTACATGTATTTAAATCTGAAAAATCTGAAAAAAAAGTATGACGTGAATATAGGCGAAATAATTGAATTTTAATACAGTGCCATCTATCGAAAATTTACAGTATCTAAAAAAAAAAAAAATAATAATCATCCTGATATTCCTTCAGATCGAGAGAACGAACAAAATAATTTTGTTCTTTTTTTTGTTTTTTTTTAACTAACAAAATAGAATCAACATTATCAAACCTTTTTACAGATATCGAGACTAAGGATAAATTCGAAGAAAAAATATAAAAAAGGATAAATGATATATATATATATATATATATATATATACATATACATATATTATATAAAAATTCTAAATAATTATGTCGCGTCTTCGTACGAGGATAATAATCTTCATCGTCAACGAGTTTATTGGATTTGTTGATAACTATATTATCGTTGATTATAATACGACCGATTATTGGTCAAGAGTGTTTATTAATCGTGTTTAACAAAAAAAAAAAAAAAAATAAAAAAAAAAGGATTAAGTGAAAGTTAATTAAAAAAAAAAAAGAAAACAACAACAACAACAAAGAAATTATATTAATATAAGTGTTGTGTGGTGTTTTGTGGTGCTATAAAGTTTATTTAATAAATACAAAAAAATATATTACGGAAAAATCAACAAACAAGAAGATTATTATTAATAACAATAATAAGAAGAAAAAAAGAAGATATTAATTATAGAAATAAAAAGTTAAAAGAAAAGGAAGAGATCGAGGCGCGGTGTCGTGCTGGATACCGCGCGCCAAAAGCTTCCGAGAGGGTGGAGGAAACGGAAGAAGAAGTGGAGGTGACGATAGTCCTTCGACAAGAAGGAAAAGAAAAAGAAGAAGAAGAAGAAGAAGAAGAAGAAGAGGAAGAAAAAGAAAAAAAAGAAAAAGAAAGAGGAGGGGTGGGAGGAGGAGGTGGGGCGGGAGGAGGAGGAGGAGGTGGTGGTGGTGGTGGAGGAGAAACAAACGTCGTCGATCGTTTGTGGTGGTGGTGGTGGTGGAATAAAAATAAAAAAGGAAATAGTCCTCGGCGTCGGGAGGACGTCGAAGGTTTATCACGGCGGATGTTAGGGCCGACCGATCAAGGTCACCACCGAGGACGACGACGAGGACGACGAGGACGACGTGGGACGATCACTGCGGCCCGTTGCGAGGGTAGAAAAAAGTGTTGGTCTTGGTCTTGGAGAAGGAGGAGGAGCAGCAGCAGTTATTATTGCCAAAGGGAATTGTTAAAGGGCGAGGATTGTTGTCACCGTCGTCGTCACCACGGCGTTCAACATGTTCGAGATGTGGAGCGCGGTGAGTTCCAAATTGGAACACTCCGCGACCTCCTCGGGTTCACCTTTACCGTTGACGTCCCACGCCCCACAGACACCGCATACCTCGTCCGGGAGTATCAAAGGTAAAAAAAACATACATCAAATATACAACAAAACAAAACCAAAAAAAGAAAAAAAAAATTCAAAAAGAAAGATGAAGAAAAATGAGTATAGTCAAAATAATATAAGTCAAGTATTTGAGAGCTTTTCTAAAAAAAAAAAAATACAAAATGTAGGGCCCTGTTTACGGAAACTACTACAAATCCTTTATCTTCTTTACTTGTTCTTTTTTCTTTTACTTATTTTTTATTTTTTATTTTTCATTTTGGTTTTTTTTCTCGGACGTTAGACGTTTTTTTTTTTTGCGTGCCCTTTTTTCTTCATTCTTTCTTTTTCTCCTTTTTTTTTTTTTTCTTTTACACGTGAAAACACGCGACCTAAAATACAATGAACGATGATGAGATATATATATATTATTATTATTATTATTATAATTATTATACCTTTAGTGGTAAAAGGTAAAACAAAGTATTTTTTTTTTTTTTTAAACATACGAGTTTTTTTATATCATTGAAAAGAAGAACGATTACGTGACCAGCAAGTTCCCACGATTGTTCTTCCTTCAGGTAATAGTCTCTTAGAAAACGACTGCTGCATAGGAGAGTAAATAACCAACACAACGTGTCACTATCTCTTTTTTAAGATTTATTATGTTTATATATAAATCTGAGACATTTTTTGTTTACTAAATAAACGTGTTAGATTACGTTTAATAAAAACTTATTACCACGTTGTTGTTGTTCTTTAAAAAAACTTTCAAGATAAAACAGAAATAATGCATATCGTAAACTTTGTTAAAACTAATACACGTATGAAGGTGTATAATATATTAAAATTAATATCAATAATTTTTTTAATAATAAAATTAAAATAATGAAGTTGGTTATATAATATATATATATAAATATAATATATTTATATATTATTATAATATAATATATAATATATAATTTAATGTAAATAAAAAATTATAATATAAAATATAATATTATAATAATATTATTTATTATATTAATTAATTATATTATTAATAATATTATTAATAATATTATTATTTATTATCATAATAATATATATAATAATATTATTTTATTAATTATTAAATTAATATTATATAAAATATAATATTATATCTAATATAATATTATAGTATAAAATATTTATTTTATTATAAATAATATTTTATAAAATATTAAATTATATAAAAATTACATTTCATTTAAATAAATTCAATTTTGCTACTTAATCTTTTTTTTTTTAATACATATATACTACAAGAAAAATCGCGAAAGTTGGTTGACGTTAATTTTTGGTAATAGATGGTTGGGGGGGGGGAGAATGGGAGGGTTTGATTTAAGGTGTAATAAATAAAAGTAATAAAAAGAAAAAGTAAAAAGAAAAGGAAAAAAAGATAACGCAAGATTTTTTGTCTTCTTTTCACGACGTGTCGTGTCTCGCGAATTACAAACATATATACATACATACATATATATATATATATATATATATATAACTCTCTACACCTTTCCTCCTACCCCACAACTCCCCCTATTTTACGTATGGTATAAATACTTATGAGAATACGAATAAGCGATCGAAACACGTGGCAGCAGGCAGTAGATAGTAAATTATGCAAAGCGAAAGTACCTCTTCTACGTAAGAAGTACGGATTGCGCAAAACGTCGTAAGAAGAATACAACACAACATAACATAACACAACACAACAACAACTAATACAAACTCTCTCGTAATGTCGTCGTCGTTGGTAACGTAGTTTGCGTCCTATCTTTGTGAAAAATAATAATAATACTAATAATAAGAGAGAATCCTATATTTTATCCTTTTCTATTACTCACTTATTATTCTATTTTTGTTCTCATTTTTAAATAATTCAATTCAATTCTATTTTATTTCTATTTTTATCTTTATTTATATATATTCAGTGTTAGATTGTTGGTATCAAATGAATTTCGAAAATATTGAATCAATTTTAATGAATTTTCGTTTATTTTGTNTATTATATTTTATTTTATATTTATATAAATATAAAGTATATTAAATATTATTTTATATTTTTTATATTTATTTATTAATTATATTAATTTATTTATTAATATATAAATAAATAAAATTAAAATATATTTATAATTAACTTTATTTTATTTAATTAATAAATCCCTAAATAGAAATAAATATAAAATTAGAATTTATTTATATTTAATTTTTTTTATATATTTTATATATTTTATTTAAAAAAATATAATATTAATTCTATATAATATAAATATTAAATATAATAATATAATTAATAATTATATATAATAATATAATATCAATATATAATATTAATTAAAAATATAACATTAAATATAATATTATATTAAAATAATATAAATATATAAAAATATTATTATTAATTAATATTATTATTATATATATATATAAATAATATTTTATCATTTCGTCATAATTTTTTTATTCCTATTTCAATAAAAGAAAAGAGAAGAAAAAAGAAATAAGGAAAAAAAATTTGTACTCTTTCCCTCTTCCCTCTTTCACCTCATCCCGATTTAATGAAAATTAACAATTATTATACTAGCTTTGTTAATAATATTACTAATTTTAAACATTAATTTTTGTTCTTTGAATTTATTTTACATAATCTATTCGAATATTGTAATATGGAAACGATGTGTGTGTGTATATATAGATATAGGTTGCGCAAGTAGTACGAGTCAATGCTACGGTTAACATTTTAATTAGCAATCGGAGTCCGATCTTTTATGAAAAAAAAAAAAAAAAAACAAGAAATAAAAAAGAAAGAAACAAAAATAATTTCCGTACATATCTTTTTCTCTTTCTTTCTTTCTTTCTTTTTTTCTTTCTTTCTTTCATTTTTTTATACGATACCAAAAATAATTTATTTCCAATATAATAAAACGCGTCAGGTGATGTGCAAAGGGTATGAAAAACGTATTAGTTCTGATCAGAGAGAATTAAAAAAAAAAAAAATATAAAAACAAGGTCATTTTATATTCAATCGAAATGAAATAAAATGCATCTGCTTACCCAGTGAACAACCCCATACTCCCCAATTCTCCCTTACACACAGCCCTCACACACTTCCACTTCGAAATTGTTCGTAATTAAAACGTTTTGGGTTAACACGACGTATCGACAAGATTCTTGCTTGAATATTTATTTCATTTTTTACTCTTTTTCTTTTTTATTACATAAACGTATGTGTATATGTGTGTTGTGTTTAACATGGTAAAATATGGAATATAATTTATCTATTAAAAAAGTTTTTCTTTCTTTTCTAATATATACCAATTACGTGGTAACTTTTATAGATTGTGTTGCGTTAAATAACAAAAAACAATATATATATATAGTATAATAATAAATAATAAAACTATATAATATTATTTTATTAGATATTTAATTGTTATTTTGTTAATTATATATTATTATTTTAATATTATATATATATATATATATATAATAATATAATATTAAAATAATATTAAATACTAATTACTAAATTACTAATGAATAATATATATAACAAATAACTATATTTTAATATATATATATATATATATATATAATAATGTTATAATATAATATTANTATTATTATAATATTATTTATTATAATATATAATATAATATAATATAATATTATATATATATAATATAACATATTAACTATATATTATAATTTTAGTATTATATTAGTTAAATAATATATATATATATATATATATATATATAAAATAATAAAAATAATTTAATAATAAAGTTAAATAATAAAACAATAAAATAATAAAAGTAATTTAATAATAAAGTTAAATAATAAAATAATAAAA